AGGCCATGCACCAGAAAAAAAAAGAAAACATGGCTGGGGTCGTTGAGGCGCTCGGTTTCTCAGAAATTCCAGCTGAGAAGAGAATGGGCCCCTGGACCTTGAGAGTGAACAATGATGACCAGGTTGAGACCCTCCAAATGCCAAAGTGCTTGACCCTGGGCGTCTCGAGCGTTGCGGGGCTAGGTGTTTCTGATGCTACTCCAGGAGTGAAACCCTTCACATGTTTTCATCAAAGGCAAACTTGTAAGCATAAGTGGATCAGCCACCTCAACTTGTTTCCCAAATTGCTATGGAATCTACTCTTGACTCACATATGCTGAGAGATCAACACATGATGCAAAGGGACCATCACCCGGCCACAAAATCTCTGAAATGCAAACCACAGGGGATCCACGTTGATCTCCCAATTTGTGGCACCAAAACCAAAACACATGCAGCACGTCCCGCGCGCACGACGTCTGCACGACCGGACGTCAAGGTCCATCGGGACACCGCGCAGAACGGCGCTGCTGAGGCCACGCCCCTGGCGCCGCGTGGGACGGTCTCTCCGGAGCGGGTGGAACCGAGCAAGTGGTTCTTTGGAAGACTGCAAGACATGGAGATGAAACAAGGTCTGACTCCATCTCATTTGGGATTCTTCTTGAAGACTAATTAGGTGTGGTGACTTTTCAGTCACTTTAAGGAAAGTCATGGAAAGTCTAGAAGCCATTGACTGCATCTGGAACTGCTGGCAAATACTTTTGGAGTGAGACAAAGGGTGTTGGCATGTAGAAACCCATGGGCGATTTGGAAGCAATTTCTGAGATTTTGTGCCTGAACAAGAGACAAACCTATTGACACCTATGTAATTCAACTGAAGGCATACAGGCATACAGTGGTTTCAGAGTAGACGGCACAGACCTCAACATGTCCTTTAGATGGGGGATGATAGGGGTCTAATGGGGTCTATATCAACCACCAGACTTAGGGGCCCTTGTGTCATCAAACCTTTGAAACAACTGTAATACGCTTGACTTGTTTACGTTTGCAGCGGAAGATGCTTCAGCTTCAGGCTTTGAAGGTTCAGGCCCAGACGTTTTTTTTCCAGCTCCAGTGTATATTCCGCTGATTGATAAGGCCTCCCCATTTGGATGCACAAGTCCGTGCGGGCAACGCTCCCACTGAACCATTTGCTGGTTCCCAATTTGGATTCTAACACCTCTTCATTGATCATGAACAGCCTGACCAACAGCAGTTCTGTGTGCGTTTATACCCGCTTTTAACCGGTGTGCGGCCATATAGTAGCTCACCATTCTATGCCACAGCTTGATACCGGCGTACACCGGCTGCTGTCAAGCCTCTTTTTCACTGCCATGTGGGTGTGTATTAATATGGAGATCCCCATGACCCAATGGGTTTTGGATGTTTTTGGTCTATTTACCCTTCTCCCATCGAGTGTTTGGGAGGTCTCCCTATTCTCCATGTGGCTTGTGGCCTATTTGCATGCAAAATCACTCGTGGCCTCTTCCGCTTTGCGGCAATGGATGCGCACAGCATAGCCTTCAGACGCCAAGGCCTACAGAGAAGCAATTCCCATGGAACAGTTCAAGGACAAGGTCATACCGCGTACATTAAAAAAATAGATGGACAGCTGAACAATAAATTCTTTTTGCTAACTGAAGTCTATGCCAATGCTGGCGTACTGTCCCTCAGGCACTATGAGCTTTTTTTAACTTTGGGTGTTGGGTGTTGGCCGTGTGCTCCAAATTCTATCAACGCTTTGTCTTTGGCGTTTGACGGTCCAGTGTACTGTCGGTGCACACCATGCGCTGTCAGCACCGCCTTCACAATCTTCTCCGTCTCCTCTGGCATCCAAGCAACATCCACAAACACAGGTCAGCTATACACAGCTACAAACGAATCCAGAAATCAAGAAAAGCCCCTCCTTGCTTCCAGGGCTTTCGTCATCCACCACCACCAGCCTTTTTCGCAAAGAGAGGGGGGGCTGAGCTGGTCCGACCCAGCGAAGTTGGGAGGCATACAGAGAGGTGCCCTCCTTGAAATGTTCATGGTGGAAGTGGATGGCACCCCCTCAATGGGGGGCGTCTTCGGAAAGGTACTGATCCGAAAATGCGGCCTGCGCCAAGCTCTCTTAGTACAAGGTGCGGCTGGGCACAAACCTATCTCGACTCCGAAGATTTGAGTCTATTAAGTCACATATATATATATATATATGCCACATTCAACCATTGAGTCCACTTCTGATAGTCCACTCTCACTTCCTTTCCTCTCTCACTCAGTCCAGTGACTCCACCTCTGATTCTGAAGCCTTTACTCCACCTCTGCGCCACCACCCTGAGGCCAGCCGCTCGATAGTGAGGCCAGCTGCCTGGCACGAGCGGTCGCCCGGGTCACGCCAGCGAGGGTCGCCCGGTGTGAGAGCCCGGGTCGCGATCCATCGTCCGGAAGGACACTTGCAAGCGATCCAACAAGGAAAAAGGCTTTGGCATGCGGGCTTTGGCATGCTGTTAGGCTTGCATTCGGAAAGCTCGGTGAACAATCAGATACAATTAGGCTGCAAGGCTGGCTGTGTCGGCAGTCTTCATGGGTGAAACCCTAAATGAAGATCGTATACAGCCCCGTAGCTCGACATGGAATCTCTTCTTTTGCTGCCACGGAGGCAGCGTAGCCCTGGCAGCCCAGTGCAGCCCCAAAAACGGTGTCCACTCCAGCCTTACAAGCTTCGAACAGTCTCTTGGTGAGAGGCCGCACATTCTCCGTCTCATTGTAAGTGGGCACCTGAGTCCCAAACTCTTTGAAGAACGACTGGAAGCCTTAAGCTTTGCCTTCCATACACCTGCCGATCCACCAAAGACTCACCAGAACCAACTTTTGGACCCAAATCCATGAGCCAACCGCAAGGGATGACGACGTTATCAGCCAATTAAATCTGGTCAATATTGGTCAATAACTTGAGTCTCTGATTTCCAGTACACTTTGGACCTTGGATCACGGTTCTGCCTACAAAAGTACTTGAGCAATGACTCAGTGTTGGTGGCAAATCCAAAAAGACATATTAACAAGAAAAACAAACAAACACACTGCATACTCATCATACCTTGTTGGAGGACATCAGGACATCTTTATGAATCAGTGTAAAACCTTTGAAACAAATCACAAAGCACGTAGTACGTATTGAGAATACATATATGTTATCTTATGTTTTCTTTTTTGAGTAGTCGGACCAAGGCCTGCTGTGAAGGATGGGATTTCCGAGCATCCAGCTGCTGTGAGTTCCGACCAAGGCGCTATGACAGAAAGTTCCTTCTTGGAGCTGCTACTGAGCTTGGTGGGGCCGCCTTCCAGCTGTGGCGAAAGATGGTGAATTCGTTAGACCGAATCACCGACAAAAGCGGCCCTTTGTGGGCAAAGTATGGGAGCAAAATATATGGGTGCCCTGGGCATTCTGTGGTACCATTGAAGTCTAAGCAGTCTCCTCTAGTCTTCGAGTAAGTTCATGAGCCAAATGATTGGATTAGGGCATAGGCAGTCCAATCAAGGCCATGATTAGAATTAAAATGCATTCCAATAAGATGATCATCTTCAGGCCGTGCCACGCCGACCACCTTCCTGGAGCGTGGTCGACCAAAAAGGAGCGCACCCCTCCAAACAGATCGTGCAAATTGAGCATCACAGGTCGGTGCTGTTGATTGAGCTCATGAACAGGACCACCTTCCTATTGGGCCCGGTCTGCCACGTCTCGATCTCTCAGTCAGCCGGTCCGGGTGACGACGTGCCGCCAGCGACTCGCCGGGCCTTTCCGCCGGGTCGCCATCGCCTTGGTGTTCGGGGAGCGTGGTTGGGCCATTGGAACCTGGATCCATTGGAGGAACCTGGTAGGTAGTTCACTAAAAGAGAAACAGAGCTCCAGGCACATCTCTTTTGAAGGTGGGTAGATGCCAGCAGGGCCAGCTGGATAGGGAAAATCTCTAGCACCGCTCGAAGAGCGTTTTCTAAGGCCATAGGAGAATGATCTGCAGCAGAATCCTTCTCTCCCCCGAGACGACCGATGTACAACCCGCTCCACCGCCACCGCCGAGGACCCGCACGACGACCGACCGCTGGGAGAAGCGCTCCGCGCGGAGCCAAGAGAAGCGCTCGGCGCGGAGCGCGGGGATTTTCGACCGGAACTCGGGCGCCCGAACAACTCGCCACGGGCGCCCGATCCGGCGAAGCCGAGGTCCGTTGGCCGCCCGGTTCGAGCACCACGGAAACAGACACAAAAACACACCTTCATATAGGAGGACATGAGCCGGTTCATGAACCTATTATAGAAAGAAGCAAACACCTATCTGGGAACAACACCCAGAATCAAACGTTGGCTCATCCGCCCTGGATGGGTCGAACTGGTCGGTCCAGGGTGGGCACTCGCCACTCTGCCCGACTGAAAACGGCGTCGTTCCCTCCACGGATGGAACGTTCCACGGATGGCGGATGACATGACACCCGACATGACGGACGGAGCGTTCCAGGGACGGATGTGATTTGCGTATGATGTGTGACGTCGACGTCAGTCCCAGTAGGCATGGTCTCAAGACCCAGACACGACTCATGGGATGCGTACATTGAGCCTCCAAACCACCCCAACTGATCGGCATATATGGCATACATGGAGAGTCTGTGAAAGATGTTTCAACATGTTTCAACGACCGTTCCAAGCGGCTCAAGTAGTACCTTGCCATTGCGTCAGACCAAAAAATGGCAAGTTGATTTGGCAAGATACAGTAATACATATAGTCAGAACTTGGTGTTTCGTTTCGAAAAGGACTGCCATGCCTAGGCTACTAGAAAATAGATGAAAATAGTATCTTGTGCAAGGAACAATAATCATGTCCACAATGCAAGAATGGAATTCTCCCGGCCCCCGTCGTCAAGCCTTTGGGTCCAACCGTCCATCTCTTCTTTCGTCGGGGCGCTGTCCAACCGTCGACGTGGACCAGTGATGGAAGAAACGTCCCAGCCTGCTTTGCCACCCCGTGTCCTCCATGGCTCGCGATGACAGCCGGTAGATAGCCGTATGAAGCGATTGAGAGGTCTTTTTTCTGAACCTGGCACCAGGAAAATGATTCACAGCCCGATGAAGCCCGATTTGCTTGAACTCTTTGTCTGAACAGCGATTGTTTTGCGGCATCCTTGGACTCTCGTACACCATGCCCCAAGGAGGTCGAAACATTATTGGGATGTGTCTCATTGTCTCATGAATCTGTGTGTTCCATGTTGGTTATAAATTTGTTTACACTTGACACTTGAAAAAAGTAAGGCGAGTCGGCAAAATTGAAATCCATGAGTCCATGAGTTTCAAGAGATTGAAACATGTGCCGCAAATGGTTTTCTTTTGGCCAGTTGGATGAACAAGTGCTTGTGAAATGACTGCGGCTCAATGACGAAGCACAAAGGGTCCAATCTCTTGTGTGTGGAATAGTGAATGGTCGATAGAATGCCGTTCCAGTTCCAATGCAGTTGGAACATCAGCAGAACCTGTGTTTTTTTTTGCAGCATCTCTTGTGGTTCTCCTCACCATGCTCGCTCATCTTTGTGGGCGAAGAGGATCAACCTCTGAACATTCTTCTGGCTTCTCAGCCTTCTCCTCTGCACAAGACACCTGGTGAACACGTTGAAACAACATCCGCACGTCCACGAGCGCGCGTCCACGGTGCATGCAGGCAGCTGTCGACTTCGGGGAAGCAGAAAAGACAGGATGAATATGATCTTGGCGAACATTTGGGTTGAACAACCATAAACAGCTTATCCTATATTTGTACCACTGTATAAGGATGTATAAGGTCTCTCAACCTCTCGTAGTTAGTGAGGAACAACCAGTTGCAGGGGAAATACAGCTAGCAAATCCGTCCACCCAAGAGCTCGTGGACCCTAATATGGTTGGATCAGACCTTTGTGTGAATGGTTCCTACACCAGATCATCTTACATCTACTGGCAATGGCGACGGCAGTAACTGGGCCCAGTGGCTTCAAAATTCAAACAAGAAGCAGTTTCAAACGAGGAATCACAACCTATGAGGAGTCCCAACCCATGGGTTGCCTGTCAAACGTGTCCCCGCTTCCGCCTTCACAGTTTCACGGACCCGGGCACCTGGCAGGCGGGAAAAGGAGGACGACCAGCAAGACATTGAACAATTAGCAACAACATGTAGAAAGTGTAGTAGTAGTAGTAGTAGTAGTAGTAGTAGTAGTAGTCATAGTGGT